ACAATAAAACATTGGATCTTAATTTGATTTTGAGTAAAAACTCTACTTTTCTAGAAATCATTTCCAACAAATTTGTTTGTTATGTTACAATAATATGGAACTTATTTTCTTGAGACTCTTGAACAACCACCAAGCCTATAACACCCAAGTAGCCCTCCATCAATCAAAAATCAAGAAAACTAACATTTAGAGGGATATTTTTCCAATTAGGCCACTTGGAAGCCACATCATGGCAAATGGCCAGTGATCGTCTGACATTTGGCAATTTGATTGATTGTTTGGCTGCTGAAAGCTGACTAGGACAGTGCAAATTGGTCATCTCGAGCTCCCTAAATCTGAAAATATCTAAAGAAATCAAATGTTATGGCGTTCCTCGACCGTAGGTTCTTAAGTTCTCAATTTGGAGGGATTTAGAGACCTATTTGAAAAAGGAGTTAGAGATGGTGAGAACAAGTCTTAGCTATGAATCTTCCATTTTTTTCAAAATTCGAAAATGATCGATAAGTTTCATGAAGAAATTGAACTCTCAAAACAAGTTTAACCAACATTTTTGCTTAACAAATCAAGAGTTGAGGAAATTTATAGAACAAGTTTTGGATAAGAATTTGAATTTGTCGCCTTAAAATCCCTACCCAATAAAGTCGCCATAATCACGCGTCATCTTCCATTGATCAAAGGTTGAAGATGATAACGAGACTAATTTAACTGAAAACCATCATTAAGTTTTCTTCAACCAAATTGAGTTTTTGAGCTATTTGGACCTCTTTATAATCACTTCTTACATATTTCTTTTTGGTTATAGAAGTCGAGTTAATTTTAAGACATATCCAAGATATTTTAAGGAATTAGAGTTGAGAACGTTTGGAAACTGAGCCTCCGAACACACTCAAACATGTAACTGTTTGGATATTTTTTTAAAAAAAACTACCGGTAGGAATCAACGAACACTTAGATAAAAATGACAATGAGCATGTTATATGATTGATTTAAGCAAGAAATTAGAGCTCTAAACTTAGTTACGACATGATTTAATACTTTTGCTACTTTAATTTGAATTTTGTTTTGAATCACCTATTCCCTATAACCATTACAAGGTTGGAATACCCTATCATGCCTGTGATTGATTGATTAGATTGTATATTATGTGACCTAGTGTAATGTATGCATGATTAGTATACCTTAGCTTATGTTTTGCTATATTTTGGTCCTTGAGCCATATTTAGGATCGATTATAATTGTGAGTTGGCTAGTACTATCATGAACTTGTTTGGACTTATGAGGATTTATTTAATATAGAAGAATGTGACTTCACCCATTTAGGGCTCGTGGCACATTAGAGAGTACTACCGAGGGAGCTCCATTTGTGCTTAGTGGGTAGCCTTCCTTACATCATTTAAAGATAGAAAATAAGGAGTAGATTAGGTATCATTGAGGGAACTATAGCATTCAGTAGCAAGTATGAAGTCTATTAGGGAGACCAAAGAGAGGTCGCTAATAGGGAGACATGATCTACACCTATTAAATTTACCATAGAGCTCAAGATTCATTGATGGCACTCTTTAAGTCGTGTGAAAATCACGTAATGATTTAGATGGGAATGACACGATTCCATAAATGAACGAGCTTGATAGGGCTAGATGACTAAACCATGAAATTGGCTAATTCTAAGCCTGAGCAAAAGAACAAAAAAAAACATATCCTTAAGAATTTTAAATAGGAGTAAGATTCGATAAAAGCCTAAAAGCAAGTTCTTTATTAAGTATTTCTATACTTATTCTTGCTATTTTTATTTTCCAGGAATATCATTGATGGATTCACGAGCCACTTGTAATTACAACTATGTAAAAAACTCAAATTTACCCTGTAATTATATCTTTCAGTTTATGTACCACCTCATCTTTAATAAACAATTTAGGTATGATCTAATTATAAACTGTGTCTGTGTCTCTCTCATGATAGGTACCCATCTAAAAATTTAAAAATTTGCACAAAACCTATTAAATCATGTAATGTGCATACATGTCTAAAAATTTACAAAAAAAAAAAAAAAAAAACTCAAGTCCTACCAGAAAATCCTTACCTCGAGCAACTACACCCATTCACCTTCGACCTACTCAACTTTAGTCCAATCCTACAACAAAGCCTTAGCAGTAATTCTTCATTATTAGAAAGCGAATATTACACAACAATCACATTGTATAATCACGGGTAAAAATGTTTAGCACCAACACTAGTGAGTAGTTAAATTGTTATCATAAAAGAGGCCAACATTTAGCACCAACACTCTCCGTAGAGCCTCAAAATTCTAGAATCCATCGATTGGAAACACACCCTCTCCAATTAAACTACAACTTGGCCAGTGGTTACCTTGATGGTGAGATCACGATGAGACACTTTCGGCAGTAAGGACAGTCCCATGATTGACACAGACAGTTGCGGCCAGATAGCCACTAGAAGGCAACACCATCGTAACGAAACTATGGACACCCACAAACAATGACAAGGAAGCTGGCGGCCAACAAGGGATAACGCAAGCCAACTTCAGCTTGTTGCGTGTGGCACGACTTGTCACAACTGAGATATGCATTGACATGCACTGCTCTTTGAACCCACGACCGAGCATGACGACGACAACAACCGTCACAACACACGAAAGCTCGACCATTCCAGCAGTTGGGTATTGAGAGATATTGTCTTCGTTGGATTTTCCCTTCTGGGATTCTTCTCAATGTTTTTAAAACACTTCTATTAGGGAAAAATTTCCACACCCTTATAAAAAAATGTGGGATCTCACAATCCACACACTTCAAGGCCCAACGTCCTTGCTAGCATTCGTTCTCCTCTCCAATCGATATGGAACCCCGTAATCCACCCCATTCAAAACTTAACGTCCTTGCTAACACACCACTTAAAGCTATCAAAATAAAACACTTAAACTTGATCAATATGTTATAAATTCTTAAGTTACTTGAACATGACTTTTCTCGTTTATTCACTCCACAATAAGACATGATTTTCTACGACGCATCTTAATCAGAATCACAAGTCTGAAACTTAATCCTATGCTTATCTACCATGCATCGTTGGAGTGTCTCTCATTACGAGTTTTGTACGGTGATAAGTACATAAGGCACCCATCCTAATATATTATTTATGAACCAAAATTTCTAAATTTGAAACATTTTATAATATAGTAAGGAAGGTTGAAGGAAGAAGAGTGTTGCATTATTTTAAAAAAAATTGAATATAGTTTTCATGAAAGTGTGAGGCAATTGAGTGTTGTTATTGATTAATACGTTATTGCTTGGTTGCTTCGTAAGTCAAGATGGTTAGGTTTTGAAGAATTCAACAAAATTTCCTCACCACTTTCTCCATAATTTACCAAACATACAAAATTATTTTATAGTAAAAAATACGTTGTTGGCAACCTCATAAATGTCAACTCCTCAATCTTTTCCAGATTTTTATGCAAATAAAATATCAATTTCACTCCCTTTTAATAAATATATCTTATAATTTTATATATTCATTCAAAAATATTATTCGTCAGTTTATTATTCAAAATTTAAGAGTATTTTTATTAATTTATACCCGAAACAAAAGAAAGGAATGAAATAGTATTAGAAATTAGAGGGGTTTCTCCCTTCTATTATATTTTATTTTAGTTTTGACAATTTGAAGACTAATTTGTTTTTTAGAATTTAAAATGAGTGTTCCATGCATTTAATTGGGCCCCCTTCACAATATATTTTGTGAAAAATTATACATTTATGTTAAAAAACAATAAACCTAACAAAATAGAATTTTTTTTTAAATAATAATAAAAAAACAACTCGAGATCCCAATCCAAAATAAAATTAACCATATATTTTTTTTTATTAAAAATAAAAGAATCCTAAACCAAATAAAAACTTATTACTATAATTTTGTTATGATTCTATACTATTAATTGTTTTTAAAAACATTGAAATCGATCCCAACTCAAACATATACACATAGATTGATCATACTAAATTTTATTTTTTAATTAAAACTATTTTATGCTTTCTAAATTGAAACTATAATATATATTCAAGAGTAATTTTATAATTTAACGTTTTAATATATACTTTAGGAGTATTTATATGATCCAATAACTTACCCATCTAAACTATTCAACCATAATAAAAGTTAGGCGGGGTTAAATATGTTTTTACGGTTTGAATTATTTTGAATTTTTGAAAAATGGAAGATTTGGTTCAATTTGTGGATTAATATTTTGTTGGTCGAATATTTAACGTTTATCTTTGATATTAATGATGAGTTGTGGCGAGTAAAATTAAAAAAAGAAAAACAAACTTTAAGTTTAACAATATACTGACAAAAAAAGTGAAAGTCAAAATTTGCAAATTGACCAACATAGAATCGCAACTAAGATTATTAATTATACCCAAAATAAAAAAATAATAAAAAATAAATCATAAGTAACTTTAAGGTAATTGTAAAGGGGTAGGTTGGGAAAAATAAAAATTCCAGCATCCAACGTAGTCCACGTCAAAGGCTGTAGGCACGTGAGAGCGTGTGTATCAACCGCTCTTGTCGGAAATTTACTTTCTTATATGTCGTCATGCTATGGAACTTGCAAGTGGGCTGCATTTATATTATTAAATAATAATAATAATAATAAAAAAACCATTGTTTTCGCAAAATGTTTTATTAAAATAATTTTAAAATAGACTAAATTAATAAAAAAAATATTTTTACTTTGGATAAAAATAGTTTTAAATTTTCAAAAGTTTCTATGGTACCGTTTAAAAATATCCTTAAAATAAAAAAAAAAAAAAAAAAAATTTTAATAGAAAGTATAAAGTTTAGGAATATTTGTATTAATGGAGGGAATGGAATTGAATTTGTTTGTAATTATATAATTTTATTTAATTTTTTTGTTGGGCAGTTTTAAAATTATATTTGGTCCACTAAAGGGTTTGTTCTCCCCCTATATAAACCCATTACCAACCTTGTTTGCCCTCAAACCCAAAAAGCCAACGCCCTTTCTTATTCTGTGTTTAAACTCGTAAGAAAGAAAAGGGTGCGACAAGGAAGTGAACCATGTCGTTGAGTACCCAAATTGAAAGCCTTTGGGTCTTCGCGTTGGCTTCCAAATGCTCCTCTCTCACCAAAGACACCCTCCTTTGCTCACTCCTCTTTCTTCTTCTTATTTGCTTTCTCCTTTCCATTTTCCACTGGGCCCATCCTGGCGGCCCTGCTTGGGGCTCCCACGGATACTACCGCCGCACCGCCGCCGTCATCCCTGGCCCAAGAGGCCTCCCACTCATCGGGAGCATGACCTTGATGATGGGTCTGGCCCACCAGCGAATCGCCGCCATCGCCAAATCCCTAGGAGCTACCCGTCTCATGGCTTTCTCACTCGCCTACACTCGCGTCATTGTCACTTCTCATCCCGACGTCGCTAAAGAGATCCTTAACAGCTCCGTCTTTGCTGACCGTCCGATTAAGGAATCTGCTTACTCTTTGATGTTCAATCGCGCCATTGGTTTCGCCCCTTATGGGCTCTACTGGCGGACCCTCCGCCGTATCGCTTCCCACCATCTCTTCTCCCCTAAACAAATCAAATCCTCTGAGTCACACCGCCGCCATATCGCTTCCCAAATGCTCGCAATCTTCTCTTCCACCACCACCTCCCCCCACCGCGTCCGCGACACGCTCAAACGAGCCTCTTTAAATAGCATGATGGCCTCCGTCTTCGGCCGCTTTTATACCCTCACCGACTCCAATAACGAAGCCGAACAACTCCAAACCCTTGTTGCCGAAGGCTACGATTTATTGGGCCTTCTCAACTGGTCCGACCATCTCCCCTTCTTAGCCGATTTCGACCCACAGAGAATCCGGTTCAGATGCTCCCAATTGGTCCCCCAAGTGAACCGCCTCGTCGGCCGGATCATCGCTGAACACCGGTCCAATTCAACCTCCGATCAAATCACGGATTTCGTCGACGTTCTTCTCTCTCTTCAACAATCTGACAATCTCTCTGACTCCGACATCATAGCCGTTCTTTGGGTAATTAATGAAAATCGAAATTAAATTAAAAACACATTTTTTTAAAAAAAAATTATTTTCTAAACATTAATTTCTTTTTTTTGGATGTAAAGGAAATGATATTTAGGGGTACGGACACGACGGCGGTATTAATGGAATGGATTCTCGCCAGGATGGTTGTTCACACGGAGGTGCAAGAAAAGGTTCAATCGGAACTAGACACGGTGGTTGGGAGATCACGTGCCGTGGTGGAATCCGACATTCCGTCCCTGGTTTATCTAACCGCGGTGGTTAAAGAAGTTCTAAGGTTACACCCACCGGGCCCACTTTTATCCTGGGCTCGCTTAGCCATCACTGACACAACCATAGACGGTCACCACGTGCCTAAGGGCACCACTGCCATGGTTAACATGTGGTCGATAGCACGAGACCCACAGGTCTGGTCAGACCCACTTGAATTTAAACCCGAGAGGTTTGTGTCTGGTGGCGCTGACGTGGAGTTTTCAGTTATGGGTTCAGATCTACGGCTCGCTCCATTCGGGTCGGGTCGGAGGACTTGCCCCGGAAAGGCTCTTGCTTGGACAACTGTCATCTTCTGGGTGGCTACACTTTTACACGAGTTTAAATGGTTGCCTTCACCGAACCAAAACGACGCCGTCGACTTCTCTGAAGTTCTCAAGCTCTCTTGCGAGATGGCCAATCCACTCACCGTTAAACTATGCCCAAGGCGTAATTCAAGCTTTTAAATTAATAAAATATATATCTATATATATATTAATATTAAAGAAATATACTATATAATATATAAATATATAAATATAAATATGGGAGGGTTTAAAAAGCCAAAAAAAAAGAAAAAAAGAAAAAAAAACCCCCACCAAATGATGTTTGGGTTGTAGGACTGTGTTCCTCGTACATTTTACTACGACAGTTATATCATCAAAGCTCTTATTTCCCTCTTGTTTTTTATTTTTTTGTTTTCATGTAAATATGAATGGAATTTGACTTAATGCAATTTCTCTTTATTTTGATATTTGAAGGGATAATATTATAACTACAAAATGGGTGTCCACATGGACAAATAATTTAAAAACAATTCAAAGTTGTTTTAATTATGATTATAAATATGGTGGGGCCAATCAAAATCGAGAAAACGAGACATCTTAATCTCTTAAGCACCTGTGTTTTGTGTTCATGACTCGAGACCTTTCACCAAATAAATTTGACAATTAAGACCAAATTACCCTTTCTTTCTTACATCTAATTCTTTTTAAATTACAAGTTTTGATACTTATTTTATAAAAAAGTTATGATACTTTGACTATTGCCTCGCACTATTTGGTTACGGGCTTTAATACCATTCGTAATGAACTAAAACATACAATATGTACTACTAGGGGTGGACTTAAATTTAGAATAAAATTTTTAATTGAAAAAGAAAAGAGATGGGGAAGAATAATTGTTGATTTGGAAATCTAGATTTATGGGAAAAAATAAAAGGGAAAGTGAAAAGAAAGAAGAAAAGAATAGAAAAAAGGGGGTGGGTGGTGGTGGGGTTAGAGCATCAAAGATGTTAGATTTTCTTGTTTGAGCCATTTTAGGACATGGTCCTTCTTGGATGGAAACAAGTATGACGACAAGCTTTGCACTCTATCTGTACCTGGTTTTTTTGTGGTCGGACCCCCTTCTCCACTTACCCTCCCAAACCTTATTATTATTATTATCTAAATCCTCCTTTTTATTCTAGAATCCTATGTTTTCTACCCCTTTTCCACCCTCATTTCCTTTCTTCCCATCTTTCCTTCCTTAACTTTATTAAAACCTTCTACTAACGTTAAATTTTAATGGGGTTTTCTTCTTAAATGTGATAGACAAAGGTAGTAATCAGTTGACTTCAAAAGAAAACGTACTATCTATGTAAGAAAAATAGATATCCCTAGTAATGTTGTACGAGTAACACAGATTTCAAGTTATATAATTATAGGGATCAAGCTAAAACAAAAAACGGTCCTTCATTCGATCTTGGATAATATTAACAAAATCGAAACTGACCTTTCTCGATAGGGGTTTCCAAAGATCAAGAAATTTGAAGGGCATTTGTTAATGGGATTGTTATTTGACATTGTTAGCAAGTTGGGATTGTAATATTACTCTAACTTGGCTTACTTTATGGTCAAAAAGAAAAAGGAACTAAAATTTAAATATATTTGAAGTTTCCCAATCTTCAAAAGCCAACTGCATAATTTTGTGTTTCATCCATTTGGACACTTGGCTGAATTTGAAACATATTTTTCTTTCAACTTGACCTTCAATTATTTGATGAACTTTAAGCAATTAAGAATATCTTCCTTTCTTTTTTTTTTTTTTCTTTTATGGAATTCTCACATGTCACACTCCATTTCTTTCTAAAATCTCTCTCACCACTACCCATTTGGATTAACATCATTTCAACAATATTGTTTCTCTATTTTTATTTCAATCTATTAAATTAAGAGAGTATTGTGAAATTGCACATCGATTGGAGAGAGAAACGAGTGTCAACAAGAAGACTGAGCTTGTGGAAATAAATTTTAAGATCCCACATCGATCAGAGAAGGAAATGAGTGCCAGCAAGGTAAGCGGGCCCTAAAGAGGGGTGAATTGTGAAATCTCCCAAGGAGAAGAACAAGTCATTTTTTATAAGGGTATGAAAACCTCCATTGCCAGATGTGTTTTAAAAACACTGAGAAGAACCCTGAAAGGGAAAGCCCAAAAAAGACAATATCTGCTAGCGGTGGGCTTGGACGGTTACAATGATAGTAATGATATAGTGGGAAAAACATATAATATAGAGAGACAACATCGCGTGTTTAATGTGGTTCGATTTTATAACCTAACCATCTCAAATAATATAAGTACTCAATTTGGGGTCATGAAAGAAAAGGGATTTGTTTTACTTGGTTATCTTTCTTTAATTTAGGAATAAGAAAGAATTATATTGAGAAAAACATAGAAAATAAAACAAGGAGAGGGAATGGTAGAGAAAGAGATATGATGGATGGATTAGAGAGTGAGGAAGCATGAGCATGGTATCGAACACAAACTAGCTAAGTATCTTTCTTATAACTCAACTAAAACAAACTAGCTCGATTCATGGAACCTACCACCTCTACTAGGATAGGTAAGTTCGACCATGGCATAGGACACCTCCTCCGCTAAGAGAAGCCAACTCTTGGTCAGCTCGATCACGTAGTCCACTACCTCAACTTGGATAGGTTATCTCAACTATATGACACACAACCTCATGCTATTGTTATATCTCAAGTAAATGCAAGGTATGCCTGTACAAATGACGACAACGTCCCATTGAAAACCATAGAACTAGTGTTAGGATAGTTGCATTTTAATTACTTTGCAGATTGGAGCATCATTTTAATATTTTCTTTGAATTATTTATATTTTCGCATTGATTATTTTTTGTTGTTTCGTTTTAAGGCTTTAATGTGAACATTTAAGTCCATGTCATCGTTTTATGAATCATTTTAAAGGAATATTTTCGCATAAAAAGATCACGTCATACATATGGTAGCGGCTCAGTAGAAAAATAAAGTCGTTACAGTTGGTATTAGAGCTCTAGGTTATACATTTTTTAGACTAGCCTGCGAAGTAGGCTTAACATGTTTTATGGTCCCACCGTTATGCTCCATTGCCGTTAGGTATGTGATGGGTAAGATACCAAAAGAAGTAAGGTAAACGTCAATGATTAAATATGTTGTTGATGTCTAGTCTTTATCAAATGTAAATTGTATTTGAATTTGTCACCTTGACTATACTAATGTTGACTGAGTTCTATGTTTATTATCATATAATGTACGACATCTCTTACACTAAAGTAGAGTGGACTTGAGAGTAAATATGTGTTGGTTGTAGAATCTACAAGGCTTTCAAAAACTCGAACTTACAATCTCTTTTCCGACAACAACGAACGACTACGAGGTATGAAGTGTGCCTTAGGTGGACGTATGATGGTCGATAATCTCTTTCATGACATGAATCGAGTGTTTTGACGCCATATTTGATTATTTCGTTTAAATGTTAGCGACTTTTGAATTTCGTCCGAAAACATCATCAAATTCCTCTCTCTTTTGTTTTTCGTCTAGCTTTCTCTCTTACTAGTGCTCGAGGGGTGTCAGAGAACATTGGCAGAAGTATGAGAAATCGTCTGGTGATCCGTGGGGGTTGCAAAGGGAGTCGCTGCGTGGATTGCGAGAATTTAGTATACTCAGAGTTATGATATTCATAGAGCAACGAACCAACTATTTAAAGAGTGTCTCGACAAGTTTTTCATCGTGTTCATAGACGACATCCTAATATACTCGATGATGTATCAAAAACATCAAAGACACTTCCACAAAGTTGTACAAAGAAGAAAATTTAGATTTAAAATATTTAAACCGTTCAAAAACTATTTCTTTTTTTAGTTTTCAAAATATATAAAAACATGTTTAAAATTAGGTTATGAAGGAAGAAAAGTACTCGGAGACGAATAGTGATTGTAAATTCTCGATTCTATAAAGTTTCAAACCTCATTGAGACTCCTTCGCCTCTTGAGACATCGACCCTCAAGCTCATCACCCATATACAGCTGCTCATCCTCTGATTTTAAGAAGAAAAAAAAAGTCTCGACCACCTCCCCGAGCAAAAATTATCAAAGATAAGAATTCAATCTTTACTCAATGCATACATCATCCGCCAAAACGTTAAAATTTAAAATTTTCACTTTTAACATATTATTGAACTAAAAAGAAATTAATTATATGAACTAAGGATAAGATTGGACAAAAATTCTATACAAAATATATTTTAATAGCGATATCAAATAATTTCATCCGTAACACTTTTGGTCTACGTCATTCCAAATCATTGCTCGTCACACATCTAATCAAATTAAATTCTATGTCCAAACCTATAACCTAATCCTAATTTGTATATATATATAATTTTTGGAATGTAGGCAATAGATGGGATCAAAAGGACTGAAAATGAGCATAATTGTTGAATGAATAAAAGCATCTAACCAAAGAAGAATAATATTCATTCATAAGTTTGTTCAAATGCTACAATCATTGAGTTTAATAAAAAGACATATGATTAGAATAATGAATGATTCTTAATCATAGGAATTATCAATTGGATGAAGACAGTTTATGTAACATCCTTTGTTTCCTTCTGGAAAAAACAATGTATCCAACTCCAAAATAATTGCGAACAACTATGAAGGTGTAACGTCATAGTTTAAATCGACCTTAATCCCAACAAAAAACCAATTCTTCTTTAATTTCCTATGTTTGGTCTTTTCAATATCCCATTAATTCATTCCTTAAATATGTAATATGTCAATTCCTTTTTCTTTCCAAAACCTCGTACTCCCAACTACCACATTCAGCTTTGAGATTCATATCTCCTCTCGATGGGTTGGTTTAATGTCTTTTCGATTCATAGCTTGTCCCGACTCAGCTAAAGAAATTCTTTTAATTCATTCTGAAGTGAGGAATCTCGTTTGAATAGGAAATAGAAGAGGGAGTAGGAAAAGATATTTCATCGTGAGCTAAATGGGGTCGGAGACAAATTCTAATAATGCTATCAAATAACTCTCGAATACTAAATGACTATTGACATTTTTGTTTATTAGTATACTTTCCATTTTTTAATAGAACTTATTTAAAAAATGAAAATTATTGCAAAATTGTGGTCTTCGAGATTTTCCTCAAGGTTTTTA